AATTGGCAAGTGATATGCAGTATTCAAAGGTGTGGATAGGCTGTGATAGCAAAGAGGCTTTACTTTGTTTGGAGGAGAATGATGAAGTTTGTGGTTTCTCATACTTGATAGGCAAAATTCGAGAAGTGGCTATGGCCTTTGAGAAATTCCAGTTGGAGTTTGTCCCAAGAGAATCCAATTCTTGTGCAGATTACTTGGCTAAATTAGGATTTAGTCTCAAGGGTGAAGAGTTGAGGTTACACTCCTCTCCCCCTGATGATATGTTGAAGTTTTGGTTAGAATTTAGCTCCATTTTGTTGATGGAGCAAGTTTGTTTGTATTTGCAGCGTTTGACTGTTTAGTTTTCTTTGGGCTTGGCCCTCCATTTTTATCAAAAAAAATAAAAAATAATAATCAATATATCATATGTTCCATGGATTTCCAATAACAAAATGTTGAACACCAATTACTTCCCAAAACAGAATTTCCAGCACGTCAAGTCCATGAACAGCATACGAATAACATATACAGAATCCGAATCCAAAGCATGAGAGCAACATTCACAATCCATGTACTAGCTAGCAGTCACAAAACCAGACACTTACCTCGCGCGTCACAATTAAATTACCAGGAAGCAGCGAATTAGTCCAAAGTCTTAAGAGTTTTGCGCACCTAATAGGTCAACGTATCAAGTCAGAATTTTTTATACAATTATCCCTATAAATCACCAATAATTTCTACACTCCTAAATCATGCACTTTCATCAAATTATAGGGCTCCTAGTGCTAATTATATTATGCCCTTAAGAGTACTTCATTCCTTGCTAGAAATTACCAATTTTCCAAGGTTCACAATCGATTTCCATGGTCTTCCAAAAGAATTTATTTTTTGTCCTCTTATAAATTTTAAACAACATGTGCAGCAAAAATTCCCAAGGTCTCACCCTATGCAGATTCGGTTTTCTAACAGTAGCAATGGTGTTCAGAATATTTCATTCACATACTAACTCCTACTACTACCAAGATGCGCTAATAGGGGCCTAAAACATGTTGTCTATTTATTTTAATTCATGCAAAACTTGGGATACACTAAGGTACAACTAAACAGTCCCACACTTTAGTAAGAGGCCATTTCCAAGTTTATTTTTATGTTTTCAAGTTAGGGTCCAAAGGAATTTAATATGGCAGGAACAAAAGGAGATAAAAAAATATATAGAAGAACTACTTCCTGAACATGCTTGACGACTTGAACAGAAGAGGTGAAGAGGGGTTCGAAATTTGTGCTTACCTCTTGCAAGCACACAAAGAACACGAAATGGACAAGGAGCAGCACCTTAGCTTCCTAGCTCCACGAAGCAGCAAGTTCAGCCCTTCTAAATGGTGGCCGCGCGCACAAGAGGAGGGGAAAGAAGTGCTTGGATTAGAACCTACATTCAAGAGAACATCTCCACCAACCTGTCGTGGTAGGAGAATGCAAGGGAGAAGAAACTATACTCTACCTCCTTGTATGAAGCTTCGGCTGAGCAAGAAGAAAATAGATGAAGGCTTGATGATAATGGTTCTCTAGAGGTCCATGATTCGAGCAAGAATGGTAAGAATGATATGAAATTATTTCTGGATGCTCACTCACCACTTGGCTCACGATTTTAGGGAGGGGGAAGGAGATGGTATAGCTGAGTTCTATACTGTTTCACAAGACAAATGCTTCACCCTATTACCCTAAATCAGCGCTTGGAATGAATGAATGGAAGGTTTAGAGGGCTGATTTTAAAAGCCATCAAAGGTCAGAAAATTTTAGGCTGTCTCTCTCCTCTCATGCGTCTACAAGGATGCAAAGTGGGTAAGATTTTTGCCCACTCATGAGACATGCAAACTGACTCCTAACATCTTATTGGTTGCATGTTCAAAGGCTGTTTTAGCTTGGATAGAGCAGCAAGTCATCAGCTGCCTTTTTACACCTCCTAGGCGCACATGTGAAGGGAAAGCAAGGATAGAGTTTTGCTAAGTGGTGATCACTAACCAATTAAGGGCTTCCTTGTAGGATTTCTTAGAATGAGATAAGGATAATTACATGATTGGGCTGAATCTTAAACACCCCTTAAGACCCTAAACATTCGGCCTTATCATGAGATGAGGACAAAAAATATACAAGCCCAATTGTGTTACTAACTTAGGTAATAACCCACAAAATTATTAATTCTCTTAAAGCCTAAGTGACATTATGCTTTCTTTTTATATGTTACAATTAATTTATTTCTATACCTTTTAACTAAAGTTTCACATGCCTAAAATAAGTACTCACTTACCATGTCCAATCAAATAATTCCCTAACGTAAATTAATTCCATACTAGGGAAAATAGCTACATAACTCGAAGACAAGGCAAGTATTACATATACTTCGAATTTAACACAGGTATCCATATTCCTCACAGCAATTTATATATTTTCCTAATTACGTTGGATGTTACTGACACGAGCTGTCGAACTCGCGCAAATTAAAAATTAATTCTTTAGGGTTCAGAAAATTTTGTAGTAAAGTGCAAACCCTAAGTCGTCTCTCAAGGAAATTGTTTGGGTAAAAATCGCTTACGATGACAGAAAATAAAAGGGGGGTTTTGGATTTTGATTCAATAATTAAAAAGGCAGAATGTAAAATTGTATGTAAAATTCGTAATTAAAAATAACCAACCTAAGGTTTGGGTTCCATGGACGTCTTTCCTCGGATAAGAGGATATCAGAATCGTGATTGATTTGTCAATCGAATCAGAATCCTTATTTCCAATTGACAACCCTCTCTAAGCGATCGCTTAGCATTTGATCAAAGACGATGCTTCTACTCATACAATCGCAGAGTATGAGCCCGCTTGATTTAAGGTCATAGGGTCAATCAACCTAATCATCAAATCTGATGATTAATCCCTTTCCATAATCGCAATCGCGAACCTCAGATTGAATATCCACGATCGCACGATATCAATCTGAGTTAGGAGGGGAAACAAAACTGATTTGAAATAAACGCAGATCCTCAAACTAATCCATGGAATCCATTACCCTTAGGTTGATTAAAAGGTTCTTAGCCTTGCATGGCTAAGGTAAACATGATTAAAATAAAAAGAAGAGGAAGAAAAAGATGAAGAACAGAATTGAATAAAAACTCAGAGAGAACTTTTCTGTTGTAGAAACTGACTGCTGAAGGGTTTCCTAGAGTCTCCCTTAAATAGCCGTCACGCAGGACGGCTAGGGTTTCACCGCTTCAGCCCAAACATAAAATAAAAGCTAAATAAAATAAAATAAAATAATAAAACATGGCCTTGGGCTCTAAACACATTGGGTCCTAATGTGAATTACAAGTTCAAACGTCAAAATAAAATTCCAGCAAAACACGTCATCTTGAGATCAAGTTTCGACCATCTTCCCGTCTGAATTGGGCTTCAGTAGCTGAAATAGAGATTGTAGCCCTATCTGTTAGCTGCAAAAAGCAACAAGATCGGAGTCAATCGGACATCTGTAGAGTGAGATATGGTCAAAATACGGACGTAGTGTAAATCTGGAAAATTATGACGAAAATCAATTAAACCCAACTAAAATCTAGAATTGTGAATTGACCCAAAAGACCTTTATTTAATTCAAATAAATCATAAAAATACCAACCAAGAGTAATAAATAAGTGTAACAAAATATGAGTTATCAAATTCCCCCACACTTATCTTTTTGCACTCCTGGGCAAAAACAAACTAAAATTGAAAGCAAAGACTAAGATCAACCAATCCTTTCTAACAATTATGAAGCATACAAAAAATATACAAAGATCACAAGTCTTCCACAGGTAAATCAATCAGGACAGAAATTTCCTAATCTCGAATAACAAGACCTGCTAACTTCAACTGCAACTGCTAACTGCATAAAAATGGTTCCTCACAAGATGCTCTCAATTTTTCTCTCAAGTGTATCAGTTAATTCAGTATATCACTCAAATCAACTCAAGAAAATCATCCTACCATAGGCTTGCTCAAGTTCTACTTCTCCCCTGCTCATAACACATGCATGCACAAATCAAGAGGGCTTTATGCAGGGTTGTAATGGGGCTGAGGTAAAGGTATGGATGAATATGGAAGAGAAAGCTAAACACCCCAGAATTTTACAAAGAGCAAAAGTTAAGAACTAAACTAAGAACATAAAACAAAGATACTGAAAAGATAAACACTTTTTTTTCTTTTTCTTTTTTTTTTGTTTTTTTTTTTTTTTTTTTTTGTTTTTTTTTTTCTCTTTTTTTTGTTTTTGTTTTGAAGAAGTAAAACCACATAGCAGAAATGAATCAGATAGTCACCCCCCACACTTAAACTTTTGTCCGTCTCGGGCAAACCCCCACACTTAAACACAACATCACAATGAAACCAATGCTCAGTAAAACTCCAGGGTGTGGAATTAATTGGTTTTTCACTTAGGCTTGTAATGCGGCTTAAGAAATAAAAGATATAAAGGCTCAAAGGGGCTCGCCAAGGGATAATAATATAAGGGACGACTATCTGGCTAAAGTGGGTACAGAAAAGAAAGAATGCCTCAATCATATTCATGCATGCAAGTGAAAAATGCAGTTTCAAAAAGAACAAGAGCAAGTTCTAGAGGACAACAATCAAGAGCAGAAACACACAAGAAAGAAAGCATGGCCAGAAGATATGCCATGTATGCGGGCTCAAAACCTCACAAGGGTAAACCAAGTCATGCAATCAACAGCACAGAATCAATCAACAGGTAGTTGTAATCCAAGAATCGAGATCAAAGCCTAACAGATTGTGCTATCAAACACTGTGATCGAAGTCTACTCCATGTACCACTCAATAATTACCAGAAAGAAAAGGAAAATCTACCTATGAAAATCAAAGACTGAAATAAAGAAAGGAAAAGAAAAATGCAAATAACAGAAAGAAAAGAAAAAGAGGGAAGAAGACTCCCTGAACTCCCTAAGGAGGATAAGTAGCATCAATGAGCAGAGCCTCTGTCTCCACAAGTTGCTTCTGGGGTCATTCATTAACAACTTTGAGGTGATGGCCAATCATTGTGCAAGTCTTCCCCATCTGCTTATCACGCAACTTTGGGGGCTTTCTTTTCTGTGTGTATTTCTTCTTCTCTTGATCCTTTCTTCCAACCTTACGCAAACTTTTCTGCATACTAAAAACAGAGGAAGAACTTTTTGGTACCCATTTCATCTTGGGTCCATGAGAGTTAGGATCATCAAAATCATTACCAGAATGGGGAGTCTTGCATAACCTCACATTTAGTACACATTCAGAATTAACATTAATAGGCAAGTCATAATCCACAGGTAATGCACAATCACTAATCAATTCAGAATCAACCTTATCAGCCACATCATGAATCACTTTTATGCATGAAACTGAATGATCTACCTGAACCTTAGAATGCTTCATGGAATCAAATATACTAAAATGTAAAATGCTATCACCAAATTCCATGGATAGAGTACCAGAATGAACATCTATCTTGGTCCTAGTTGTTCTCATGAAAGGCCTACCAAGTATAATTGGTGATCTATTAGTAGCAGTCTCACTCTCCATTTCTAAAATGTAGAAGTCAGCAGGAAAAATCAGATTATTAACTCTGACCAATACATCCTCAATCAAACCAAATGGGTGAATACTACTCATGTTAGCTAATGTAACCACAATACTAGTAGCACGCAAAGGACCAAGACCAAGAGACTTAAACACAGATGCAGGCATAACATTGATGGAAGCTCCTAAGTCTAGCATGCAATCATGAAAAACAGAATTGCCAATTACACAAGGGATAGTAAATGTCCCTGGATCTTGACATTTTTTAGGCATAGGCTGGATGAGTGCTGATACATTCTGACTCAGGTTAACTTGCTCATCTCCTTTCAGTCTCCTCTTGTTGGTGCACAACTCCTTTAGAAACTTGGCATATCTCGGAATCTGCTGTATTGCATCCAGAAGAGGGATGTTCACCTCAACTTTTCGGAAGGTGTCAAGTATCTCTTTATCTTGAGCCTTTGCTGATTGCTTCTTGGACTGAGTGGCTCTCTGAGGGAAAGGCAGAGGGATATGGACATCAGATGTATCAGTGCTCTGCTTCTTGGAACTAGTGTCACCTCCTTTAGATGACTCAACAGCAGCTTGGTTTGGCTCCTCCATTTGCTTTCCAGAACGCAGAGTAATAGCACTCACATTTCCGCTTCCTTTTGGATTTGGAACTATTTGGGATGGAAGGAAGCTGCTGGAAGGTTGGGCCTGGTTCATTGATGTCGCCAATTGCCCGATCTGTGTCTTCAAATTCTGGATTGTAGATTCTGTCCTCTGTTGAAACTCCAGATTGTTGGTGGCCATCTGTTTCATTAAGTCCTCCAAAGAAGGACCACTGCCACTGTTTTGTTGCTGCACTGGTGGCTGTTGTTGCAACTGTTGAGGAGCAGGTTGCTGGAAGTTTTGTCTCTGCTGTGGAATGAACTGCTGCTTCTGTTGGTATGGAAAATTTTGTTGACTCTGCTGATATGGAACATTTTGCTGATTCTGGTTCCATTCGAGGTTTGAATGATTCTTCCAGCCAGGATTGTAAGTGTTGGAGAATGGATAATTCTGCTGCTGCTGGAACTGTGGTTTCCCAGGAAAGACTGCAGCTACTGACTGGTCTGCAGGAATTGAGCCCTCTTGTAGAGAAGGGCAAGCATCAATGGGGTGAAAATGGTCACTGCATATGCCACATGGATTGCCGAACATTGGAGCAGAAGTCTGGACTGTCTGGGTAACTGCCAACTGTCTCACCATGGTTGCCAATTCATCAAGTCTATTTTCAATTCGCTGATTGTCAGCACTTGATACCACTGCTGAAGGCTGGGTCGGAGTTTCTTGCACCTGGTACACAGCACTGCTATTGGCTCTCGTTCCAAACTGTTGAGCATTTGCAGCCATGTTTGAGATCAACGCCTTAGCTTCATTGGGTGTTTTGTTAACAAGAACTCCTCCACTGGCAGCATCAATCAGGTTCCTATCCATATGTAGCAATCCCTCATAGAAGTAGACAATCAGCAATTGCTCCGGAATCTGGTGATGTGGACAGCTTGCACAAAGTCTTTTAAACCGCTCCCAGTACTCATGCAAGTTTTCCTCATTTGCTTGTTTTATGCCACTTATCTCCTTTCTGATTGAAGTGGCTCTTGAGGACGGAAAAAACTTCTCCAAAAACAATCTGGCCATGTCATTCCAAGTCTCGATAGATGAAGGCTGAAGGTAGTACAACCAATCCTTAGCTCCTCCATCGAGGGAAAAAGGAAAGGCTCTCAGTTTGACCTGCTCCTCATCAACTCCTTGCGGTTTCATTGTGTTGCAGACTACATGAAACTCTTTCAAATACTTATATGGATCTTCACCTGCAAGACCATGAAACTTGGGAAGCAAATGGATAAGACCAGACTTAAGTTTAAAACCAGTATCAAGATAACGAATGCAAAAAGACTGATATTTAACATCAGGTGCAGTCAATTGCCTTAAGCTTCTATTATCCATGTTTTTTTTATTGTGACCAAAACTTCCTAAATTATAACAAAACTTCCTAAATTATAAAATAAAAAATAAAAAATAAAAAATAAAGAATTAGGAAAAAAATAAAAATAAAAATAAAAAAAATCAAATAAAAATAAAAATAAAATAAAATAAAATAAAAGGAAAGAAAGAGCAAAAAGAACCAAAATAAAAATAACAATAAAAATAAAATAAAATAAAATAAAATAAAATAAATAAAATGAAAAATAAAAATAAAAATAAAAGGAAACTAAATCTAACAAAATCTAATCTAACTAATCAAAATCTAACAAAATATAATATAATCTAACAATATCTAAGAAAATCTTAAAAAAAAAATAAAAAAATAAAAAATGAAAAGATTGGGAATGATTGAAAATAAAATCTAGTCTAATCTAATCAAAATACTAACAAAATCTAATCTATTGTTAATATTCACTAATTAGAATAAAAAATATATATAGAAACAGAAATAGAAAAAGAAAAATCAAAATCAAAATTGAAGAATTTTTTTTTTAAGAAAAAAAAACGAAAATTAAAGAAGAAGAAGATGATCAAGAATCAGAAAAGGATTTAGACCGATGCAATTTCCCCGGCAACGGCGCCAAATTTGACACGAGCTGTCGAACTCGCGCAAATTAAAAATTAATTCTTTAGGGTTCAGAAAATTTTGTAGTAAAGTGCAAACCCTAAGTCGTCTCTCAAGGAAATTGCTTGGGTAAAAATCGCTTACGATGACAGAAAATAAAAAGGGGGTTTTGGATTTTGATTCAATAATTAAAAAGGCAGAATGTAAAATTGTATGTAAAATTCGTAATTAAAAATAACCAACCTAAGGTTTGGGTTCCATGGACGTCTTTCCTCGGATAAGAGGATATCAGAATCGTGATTGATTTGTCAATCGAATCAGAATCCTTATTTCCAATTGACAACCCTCTCTAAGCGATCGCTTAGCATTTGATCAAAGATGATGCTTCTACTCATACAATCGCAGAGTATGAGCCCGCTTAATTTAAGGTCATAGGGTCAATCAACCTAATCATCAAATCTGATGATTAATCCCTTTCCATAATCGCAATCGCGAACCTCAGATTAAATATCCACGATCGCACGATATCAATCTGAGTTGGGAGGGGAAACAAAACTGATTTGAAATAAACGCAGATCCTCAAGACTAATCCATGGAATCCATTACCCTTAGGTTGATTAAAAGGTTCTTAGCCTCGCATGGCTAAGGTAAACATGATTAAAATAAAAAGAAGAGGAAGAAAAAGATGAAGAACAGAATTGAATAAAAACTCAGAGAGAACTTTTCTGTTGTAGAAACTGACTGCTGAAGGGTTTCCTAGAGTCTCCCTTAAATAGCCGTCACGCAGGACGGCTAGGGTTTCACCGCTTCAGCCCAAACATAAAATAAAAGCTGAATAAAATAAAATAAAATAACAAAACATGGCCTTGGGCCCTAAACACATTGGGTCCTAATGTGAATTACAAGTTCAAACGTCAAAATAAAATTCCAGCAAAACACGTCATCTTGAGATCAAGTTTCGACCATCTTCCCGTCTGAATTGGGCTTCAGTAGATGAAATAGCGATTGTAGCCCTATCTGTTAGCTGCAAAAAGCAACAAGATCGGAGTCAATCGGACATCTGTAGAGTGAGATATGGTCAAAATACGGAAGTAGTGTAAATCTGGAAAATTATGACAAAAATCAATTAAACCCAACTAAAATCTAGAATTGTGAATTGACCCAAAAGACCTTTATTTAATTCAAATAAATCATAAAAATACCAACCAAGAGTAATAAATAAGTGTAACAAAATATGAGTTATCAGTTACAATACGTCACCAAACGTTCCCCCACTGTGTTTTTGTCACAAATGTGTAAAACAAGTGATTTTCATGCTGAAGTTGTGCATCAGATGAGGGAACGTGCGGTATTTTGCCATCAAAATGGGCCTAGATGGGAACAAATTTACGTCCCATCAAACACCCCAAAACTAAACTGTTGGTTGTCCTCAAACAACTCAGAAATATTGTATTGGGCTACCCAATTTCAAAGAATAGCTCAACAGAAAGGAGCTTGAGCCAGTGAGCAATCATAAGCTTTTTAAAAAATAAGCTACTCTCCATAGGTAAAAAGTAAGAAGAATTTGTTCCAAGATAAGTGAAGGTTGCTGATCTTCTGTCTCACTATCACTCAGGGTTTGGTGTTTGCTCTGTCCATTCCTGGATGTGATTCTTCAGAACTTGCCTTTCTGCTGTTTTCCTATAAGTACAATTGTCTTCCCTTCCAAGGATCCTTGACGGATGAGTGTATGGAAGTGTGGAAGAATGGTGGTCTGAGTTATGGGGTCAAGGAACGTTTGCTTTTGTGCCTTTGAACTTGGACTTTTTCTGTTTGAGGGAACACATTTTCTTGTACCTTTTTCCCCTTTTGGAGGAAGGTTTTCTTATATTCTTTTGAATGGATGTTCCCCTTTTCTTTGCTTTTCTTTCTTCTGTCCTTTTTGTTCATTTTTGGATCTGTTCCTTGTCCTTTTTGGTTGACCAGGAGGGGTATGATGGAGTGGAGGTGAGTGTGTGGTTCTGTTTGATCCTTGTTAGTGAAATTCATCTGTTCTTCAGCAGTACTGGCAGCATCAAGGAAAGTTTAGAAGTTTCATTGTGGTGACACCTCAGGAACGCTCTCATAAGTGAGTGTTTGGTCTTTTTCTTCGTTCCTTACCAGCTTTAGTTCACACAGATCAGCTTCCTTCAAAAATCCGAGGATTAAATTCCCTGCACTTTTTCTATTTCAAGTACTCAGAGAAAGAATAAGCATGATTAATCAGTGACTTTGTGTTTCGTGTTGTTGACTATTTCTAAATTGTACAACCCTAATACTATAACTGAAATGTCTGTACGTGCAATTCGATCAAAAAGTCTTTTTCATTGCAAAAAGTTTATTTACAAAGGAACGAAAAAAAAGGAAAGAAAATAAACAATACTGAAAATAAACTAGAATTTAACAATTAGGAGGGTTTCTCCTTTTCATTGGGGACATTTCTTGTCCAGGTTCTTTTTGGCAGCTTCAGCTTCTTTAGCCTCATCAATTTCTTCTTGTGTCAGAGATCTCCTTCTGAGCTGATCTCTCAATCTTAAAACTTCAGCTGCGGGTAGCCATTTCTCAGCAACTTTCAGTAGATCGTTGATGACTGCAACCAGGTAATTGATGGTGAACCTCATCATGGTTCTGCCAGTACGAAAATGGATAACTTGCTTCTCAACATCCAGTAATCTTATTTCCAACTCATAGATTCTCCTCTCCAGATAAGTTCCAAAGGCCTTGATGGCTTCTTTGGTTTCTTTTCTTTCTTCAGAGTGCTTGAGGAGGAGCTTAATCAACAGGTGTTCAGCTCTGTAGTTATGCATGGAGTTGGAGTGGATGAGGGAGTCAGCTGCTCTTCTGATTTCTCCTTTGACAACTTGGAGTGTTGCCTCACAGAATGCAACACTGGTTCCTTGGATTGTTGTCCTGATGGTGCTGAGCTGTTGCTCTCTCTCTTCCTTCTGCTGTTCTTGAAATGTGTTGAAGGCAGAGGAGAGTTGATCCAATCCGTCCCTTAGAGCCTTCAACTCTTCATTGGTGCTTGTCATGTCAAGTTGGGGGACGGATTGCTTTGCTGACAGCAATTTTTCTATCTTCTTCCCCATCATCTCAAAAATTTCAACAATCCCAATTTGTGATCTCTTTCTAGCTGGGATGGGGATTACTGTAGCAGGGGATGACTTCTGCTGGGTTTGCTGCTGTCTGCAGCCAACATCCCGAGGTGCTTCAGGTGCTTGTTTGGTGGCAGCCTCTGGTGTTTTGGATGATGAGGGCATTGCTTCAGTGTGTTCCTCCATCAGTGGGGGGACTACCATCCCTTCTTCCTCTGCTAAAGCTCTGGCTAGAGCTTCGTCCCCAGTGGTGTCAGGACGGTTAACAGGATACAAGAGGGGCCCTTCCAGACTAATTTGCCTGGGGGCGGATGACTTTTTCTTCTTTTTAGGGGATTCCACAAGAATCCCCTTTCCTCTGTCATTTTTCTTTCTGTGGCTGAGCCTCTTGCTTAGCCACTGTAGTTCCCGCAGCAGATGCTGCTTCTTTTTCTGTTCTTCCCTCTTCTTGTTGTTGCCTAGGAGAGGGTTATGGGGTGATATGTCTTGGTGGAGAGTGAGCAGGTGGTGTGTAACACCCTCCCTTGTATGCATCCAAGAGAGTTGTTTGCTAAGCGGATTAGAGTCCTTTAATCATTTTTAGAGACTGAAAATCACTTTTACAATGCCAATTAAAACTTATAATTGAAATCGGGTTCGTCACAAAAATCAGAGTACACTTTCAAAATTTCTCAACTACTGAAAATATAATTTTCCTGGCAGACCTTGCTGTCTTTAAAAATTCGTATAAAATTCACTTCAACAATTCAAAACAATATTCTTGGTAATCTAGAAACTAGACATTCGGGGCTTCACGTTCATATAAAATAATAGTAATTTGGAGGTAGTTTGCCCCTCGAAACATAACTCGTAAGGCGAGAGTTAAAATCAGTGAATTTATATCAAACGACCTGACTTGCAAAAATCATAATAAATCGAGCTTTCAGAATTTCGTTGAAAGGTTTATATATAATGAAACTAGACACCTTGGGCTACACGTGCATATAAATTATAAGAAAATCAGAGGTCCGTAGCCCCGGGACGCCAACCTACAAAATGCTCGCACAAACAGTTTTAACTTAGCTTTCAAAACGTCATGAATCAGTTTTCGTAAAAACGGTTCTGAAATTCGTTTCAAAACACTTGCTGTTCTTAAAAGTCTTAAAACAAAATGCAAACATAGTTCACTAATAATTTAAACATCCACAATTAGTACAGTCATCCATGAAAATAATACAATCAAAGCAGCATGCCCAATAGTAGAAACCAACAGCAAATATCCAAGTCCTCAAAAGCTTTTACGTTTTCCTGCCATTTTATAAAAATAGCAGCCCCAAAGGGGTGAGAAAAATCCCAGTAGTGTGGCAACAAAACCAATAATGCAACAATATTAAACTAGGCACAAAATTATATACAGTCGCTTCAAACATGAAATCCTTTTCATCATATAACATTTTCATCATATATCCTTTTCATCATATATCATATTGCGTATATAACACCTTCATCACGCTCTTAGCACCGTCGTGCGCGTGCCATCACAGTGGAAATTCCATGCATGACACCATCATTTGGGGAATTCCACTATGGCCTATGCGGACTGACGCCAACTGTCCCAGTACCCTGATATCAAGGGATGCCTATATGATGCGTGCTCAATCACATGGTCCTATATATATAACTATTCTAAGACTCAAGACTAACATGAATTTGGTACATGCATGCCATGCTATGCTGTCACACACAAACAGAAAGACAAGTGCGGTATGATGTACGGTGCATGCATATATCATCATTTCATAACATATACTTCATGTACATTGGATGCCATACTGCCAAGCCATTCTTTCTTTTCATAACAGAATTTCCATAATCATAACATTTCCATAGGCAGAATAATTTCATCATTTATGGCAGAATAATCATAAGGCACATGTGAGCAACAATTCACAATTCATACACTAGTCAATAGTCACATCAGATAATATCGCCTAACACATACCTCGAGTCTTTAACATTTTATTTTATCAAAGCATCACCAATCGGCCCACACTTTTAGAAGTTAGCACACCTAAACATTGGGTACCAACAATCAGAATTCACATCTACTATTCTAATAAAATGCATGTACTTTCCGGGCTTTCAATACAAGACTTCTAACCAATTTACCATGCATACCTGTTATTTAATTTTCTGATTTAACTTTAGTTTTGCCAAAGATTAACAATTAACATTAATATAAATCTCTATGCAATTTAATTCGGTTTGCAACCATCGACAAGGTGCATCAAATTCTAATCTACCTAACACTTTCTATATGACTTAAGGGGCGACCAAGAGTTTATAACATTCTGCCCAAATGATAATTACCACATGCATGGCTAGGTTCGAAAGCTAGTCCAAGGGAACAGACCAACAGAAGTTAAAGAGAGCTATCTCCATGCTCACAAATTAGCTTTGCTAAAACTATACACTTTTCTTTTAAAATTTAAAACCTTCCTGACTTGTACATCAACATCAACATCAACAACACCTTTATCCCAAATTAATTGGGATCGGTGGTAGATGAACCCACATGAAAGATACAAAACGGTTGAAAAAAAGTAAAAAAAAAATAAAAAAAATAAAAAATAAAAAATAAAAAAATAAAAAAATAAAAAAATTAAAAAATTAATAAATAAATAAAAATACACAAATAAAATAAAATAAAATAAAATAAAATAAAAATATGTATATATAAATAAATAAAAGTAAAAAAGAAAGGGACAAGAAGAAGGGGGGGAAATGAAGGGGAAAAGGACTAAAAAGGGACCATCTGGAACATAGGAATAATAGCGGGTCTAACCCTCCACCATACTTATAGCTTTTCTCCATTCCTTTCTAAGACATACTGTCCGCCAATCTATACATTCCTGACTTGTACAATTTCTATAAAATCGAGTTCAACTGTTTTCCAGAATTTTCTTTGACGCAGAGAAAGTACACATCTAGGGCTTCACATATATATAAAATATAGCTCATTCGGAGTTCCGTAGCCCCAGAAACGGAACTCGCAAGATGGCGGTAAAATAGCTAACAAAGAAATTCCGAATTTTAATAGCAGAATTGCCTTGACAATTTAAAACCAAAATAACATGAGTTCAGACAATACACAGTCCATTCCCTACGAGGTTTGCACACCTAGATACAAATATTACAAGTCAGAATTCATTTCATGCTTTCCTATACATTGCATAGCACTTCCATTCTCCTAAATACTTGGATTATAATCGGTTTCCCAGGTTTTTAATTGAATTATTATTCTGACTCAAGGTTACCTTATCATACGTTATCAAGTAACCAAAATCCCAGTTCCCCAAGATATGTCCGTTCGGTTTTTAAGCTATTATATTGATACTTCCAATTTCTGTTATGCCTAACATCTTCGACAAAGCTTAAGTGTGATAAAATAAAGTCTTTAGCATGCTTTCTTCTACCATTTAATTATGGTTAATTACAAAACAGCATGCTGCCTCAGTATTCTTTAACACATGCCAAGACAATTAAATTTTCTAATCAAAGGGGCAATCCAACCCATTCCAACCAGCGATGGGGACATTTCTTTCCAAGCTCAAAATTTATTCTTTATATTCACAAGTATTAAGGGCCAATTGCTTTACTTAAAGCTGGACAGAGAATAAACGAATATGACAACAGGCACCTCCTAATTTATATGCAGCGGCCTAACCAAACAGTGGAGAAATTTACAGAAACCAAGTACGTCCTCCGTTAGCACACGGTAGCCGAACAGATGGGGTTAAAGGGACATGAAGTTAGGTCCATACCTCTTTGTATGCACAGCAAAATTCGCCCAAAATTAGGGAGACAGCCACCAAGCCTGGTGCTTGGATCCTCACACTCTGGTTCTAACATGCAATGAGGGACACGACAGAATTAAGGACAATGATCCTCCTTGTAGTAAATTGGGTGTTCAGCTGCATGCAATGGGGTGACTCAATCCTAGCTCCTAGAGATTGCCTCTGGCCGAACAAGGGAAGGGGTGGATGCTGCGCTCTTGTTGCCGTCCCCTAGGTTACTGCTATTGACCGAATCAGTAAAGGAGAGAAGAAGAAAGCTAAACTGGTGGTTCTCCTCTCTAATGGCTCATGGTTTCTACTGAAGAATAAGGAAGGGAAGCAGCAAGCAAGCTTTGGGTCTTTGTGCATGGTTTAAAGGAGGGCAGAATGTTAGACTAGATGATGATGTCTCCTCTATGGAAGAGTGCGGCCTCGCAAGGAGAAAGGGGTTACTTGAATTCTGGATGTGACTTCAAGAGATAAAAATCAGAATTACTTGTTCTCCCTATGCGCAAGGATTAGGAGGGATAAGGTTGAACATGTGTCAACTCTTGGCCAATCAATTTACATGCATGCAGATTTACTTGGATAATCTAAGTATCATTAGAGGAGAAAAAAAAAAACATATGGCTGACTTACACACCTATTTTAGTGAGTTTGGGCCGTGGCCCAGTAGGGAATTGGACCCAAAATTTTCCATAAATCATATGATTTTATGTATCCACTAAGTTGTACTAGTGTTTTCATAAAGAGTACCTAAAATATTCCAAGCTTATATATACTTCGATTATTAATTCAAGACCAACATCGACAACCACCGTGGCATTATAATTAGCTTCCTAATGAGTCAACTATCTCAATTAATAGATTATTACTTATTATTTCGTGTTCCCATTAATTATGGATTAGGGTTTCTCAATAAATTATAATTGAACTTAATACTATCATTTCTTAACTAGTATCATGAATCTTTTAAAGTACACACATATATTCACTTATATTATCGACATAAAATAATTTTCCTACTTAAATTAATTCCACCCCATACTCAAAATTTAATTCGAATTTCAAACATGCTTCACATTCTTAATTATAATTTACATATGTTCCTAATTATACGGGATGTTACATGGTGGGGACGGAATGTCAGAGAATGTGGAGTCTGAACTGCTTGGGGACGTCTCCTTAGCAGCTGATTTGGGTGCTGACATTTTGCCTGCCTTCAGCCCCTTTGCTAAAGGCTCATTGTCATCACTCTCATCCTCCTTGTCAGAGAAGGTGATGGGTTTTTCAGAGGATGCTCCCTCTGGCCTTTTGCTGCTGATAACCCTCTTCAGCCTCTGACTCGAACGTTCCCCCTTTCTTGGGGGAGCTTTGGCAGAAGATTTCTTCTTGCCTTGTTTGCCATTAGTAGCAACAAGGGCATCCTTCTTTACCTTGGTAGGAGGAGGGATAGTTCTTCCTGCCGGAACGTGGGCAGAAGTGGGGGATTTTGAAGGAGTGACCTTTGTGGTTTTCTTCTGAGGGGTAGCCTCCTCGTCTGGTACAGGAACTCTCCCACCATGGAGACATTCATCTCTCGATCGTCAGTGGCAAAACGAAGCCACTTGAGGTTGATCAAGGTTTTCTTTACGAATGGTGGCAGAACCAGTTTGTCCTGCTGCATGGATATGTTTCTTTCTGGGTACAGATGGATGATGGGTTCAGTGAGCTCTGGTTTTTGGCCACGGCTGGCCATAGGAGTCACATTTACTGATAGCTTAGTCATTTTTAGCAGAAAGGAGGTTAGGGCACAATGTAGAGGGAGAACAACTTCTGAGTTAAATGGAAGTAGTAAAACTCGAAGAAAGGAAAGGTTGGGTTTAAATAGAAAATGGAGGAGGAAAACGAAGAGTTTTCTGGGACGTGGAGGTTGAGGAGAGGAGGTCGAAGAGGTAGTGGAATGAGGACGTTACAGAACGAGTTGTCAGCAGTTACTGACCAGTTACTGATGGTGATGAGTGCGAGAAGATGGAACAATTTAGGTCAGGAAGTGGGAGAGAGGGAAAAGAAAAGGGTGCAGCTGTTTTAATGGTTGAGGAGACGGTTTCTTTTTCTGAGCACGTTTTCAAGATTTGCAATGAATGCAAATTTGATATGGCTGCGTACCCTTTTTTAAGTGACTCAGCAGGGACAGGTGTCCCAGTCACTCTTATCTCCTAACCCAGGGAACGTTCCCTTTGTCTTTTCCTAAATAAATAAATAAACAACTAAATAAAAAGAAAAAATAACATACAAAGGTGTTAACTGTAAATCTAATTTAACTAAAGGAAATGGGACATACTAACCTATCACCTAACTACTTATTATTTACTAAAATAATAACTTTGCAAAATATATATAAACAAATTTATTTTTTTATTAATTGGGATTGTGTGGTCAGGGACCACCCCAAAACTACGTTCCTGGAACGGAACGTATCTTATTTGGACTTTTTAGAGTAGAACATCAGAAGTTCCCTCCTTTTGGGAGCTATGTGGTTGAAGATAACCACCCCAAAACTCTGCACTTTGTCAGAGAGCAAATGCATACACTGGGTTGCTCCCAGTCAGCGCTTAGTTTAATGTCTTTAGCTAGACATGGTACTTACCTCTCAAGTGGATTCAGAAGTGGTTGAGGGAACTTCAGTGTCCCCTGGCAGTGATCCTGGTGTTCTTGTTTGAAGATTGGCAGCAATATGTCCCAGATGGGACTCAATGTTCCTGACCACCGCATCATTCCTGGAGACATATTCTTTGACATAGTTTTCCAGGCTATTGATGCGTTGGTCATCTCTGTGGAACGGAACGTAATTGTTCCTCCTTGGTTCAAACGTTCCACTGTTGCTGCCTTGCTAATACTGCTTCTGAATGTTGAATGGTCTTTGGTTCATGGGTGGCCTCCATTGGGGGTTATGGTTCTGATCTTTGGATATAGTTCCTCCAGAAACGGAATTGGTATTGCGTACTGCTTGCTGATTGTCTCTGGTGAAGTTCCTATTGCCAAAATTTTCTGCATAACATACCAATGCAGCGGATGGGCAGTCTGTTGAGTCATGAAGGTCACCACAAGCTGAGCATGGTTCTGTTTCAGCTGCTGTGAGTTGCAAGACTTCCATCCTTGGTGCTGCTTGGTTGACTTTCAGGTTCTTTACTTCATTCATGAGTGATGCTAGCTGGTCTTCCATGGCAGTTTGTTTATCCAGTTCTAGCATGTCTGGCTTCCTTACTAAGTTCACTCTGTCTATTGGCCATTGGAGACATCTTTCAGCAGTTCCTTCTATGATTTCATACCTTGATTCAAGTGTTCCTGTAAAAAAATATCCTCATGCAGCAAAATCTAAATGAGATTGAGAAGTATGGTCAAGTCCCTTATAAAACGATTGCAACACTCCCCAACTCTCTACCCCATGGTTTGGACATTTCCTGATGATGTCCTTGTATCTCTCCCATGCCTCATATAGATTCTCTCCATAAAACATTCTGAAGTTAGAGATTTCTGCTCTAACATCAGCTTGTCGAGACATGGGGAGAAACCTCTCTATGAATTTGTTAGAGAGCTCTTCCCATGTGTGGATTGATCCAGGGGTGAGAGTTTTCATCCATGTTTTTGCTTTTAAGCCCAAGGAGTGAGGGAATAACCTCATTCTCATGCTTTCTTCTGTCACACCTTCAGCTTTGAAATTATCACAAATATCTTGGAATATGGTGAAGTGTGTGTAAGGATCTTCCGCAGGGAGTCCATTGAAGATCCCTGCTTCCCTAATCATGTGAAACATGATAGGTTTCAGTTCAAAATTGGGTGCTACAGGAGGGAGGATGACTCCCCTGTCTGGTCTGCTCCTGAAAGGAGCAGCTAAAGTTCTGAAATTTTGTTCAGGAGGAATATCTTCATTATTGTTATGATCAGCCATGTTTTCAAGAATTTCTTCCCTAAGATTCCTTCTTCTTCTATGAAGAGTACGTTCTAGTTCAGGATCAAAGGGAAACTCAGGTACTTCACTGGAGTGGTTAGAGTCTGTTTCTGACTCTTCACTCATAAACCATAAACACAAATTATATATACAGCAGATTTAGTGAAAATAAAATAAAAGTAAAGTGAGAAAAAAGGAGAACTTCCTTGTGAAAGTTGGTGAGATTAACAAAACATTGGTCCTCAAACAGCCTATGATTATACTCTTGTATAAGAGGCTTGCTTTAACACTAATGAAGTTGATTCTTCTTTGCCTTGTGCAATTGTTTCTGTTTCGCAGGATTTTGAGGATCTGTTCCCTGAAGAAATACCTGATGGTTTACCACCAATAAGGGGTATAGAGCACCAAATTGATTTCATACCAAAGGCAACAATTCCAAATAGGGAAGCATATAGAACCAACCATGAAGAAACAAAGGAACTCCAAAGGCAAGTTAATGAGGTTATGCAAAAGGGGCATGTGCATGAGAGCATGAGTCCATGTGCTGTTCCAGTATTGCTTGTGCCTAAGAAAGATGGTTCTTGGAGGATGTGCGTTGATGGTCGTGCCATCAACAATATCATTGTAAAGTATAGATGTTGGGTGGTTTGCTGATGGTGGAAAAAGATAAGTTATAATGGGGGACGTTCCTCTATTCTAAACAGAACACAGATTCGCTCCCTTACTTCCAACCCAAGTGCGCAAGTGCACACATCAAGTAATAAAGGGTGTATTAATGCCCAGATTATCATTCCTACGAGGATAGAACTCTAGATATTGTCTTATACTGTTTTATAAAGAATGAAAATGAAAAGAAAAGTTAGTGAATGAACTGTCTGGTCAAACGTTCCTTACTGTCTTGACAACGTTCCTCAGAAACAGTAAGTTCAATTTGATGACAAACAATTGCTCGTTGTGTTATGTATGTGATCCTTCCTGATTAGAAGAAGGTGAGATAATATTCATTGAAGTTTGTTAGATAACAGCTTAAAATAAAGTATAAATATTTAAACAGAAATAACTATAATGAAGAGACAACAAGTGGATGGTTTTAAAACAGTTTAACAGAAGGAACGGATTCACTGCTCCATTCTTAAATAACTATTTTCTCTACTCAAGACCTAGCACTTTTTGGCTTTGTCCCAGTTTCTTATCTGCCAACTCTGATTCCTCAGCTCATGGACTAGATGGCTCACAAGTTTCCATATTCCTATGGCTCCCTTGACTCCAACAGGTACTTAGTACAGAACCTTAAAATGGACGAGTTGGCCCCTTATTCCTAAGGTGACCAGTAGTGTTTTTGCCATGACACTACCTTCCCTCAATGGCTAAGCTGTCTGAAATCCCTTCCTTATGGAAGTTCCTTTATCAGTATGTGTTCAATTTCCGTTGATACACAATGAATATAGCTTACTTAGCCAAAGAAATACAAAAAGCTTTAGTCAAGAGTTTTGAAAATAGTTCTTTAAGAGTTTTGTAGTTTATCCGTTC